CGTTTCGGGCAGGTCCTTAATCTAACAGATAATTTTAAGTAGGTAAATTCTATCAGAATTAATAAAATGATAACAAATACATTGCAAGAAAAAAAATGAGATGAGAGAGATTAGTAAGTATATTAAAGCACATTGGTATATTAAAGCTCTGACTGATTACATTGACAGCTTGATTGGTAATTTAAACAAGATTAATAGACACCATACAGCAGATTGATAGCACATATAAGAAGACAGCAATGATCACAATGATAAAGATGTTCAGATTGGGTACATAAAGTTTGGGAGATTGGGTAGCAATAGCAATAGCGCAATTTTAAAGCAAAAGGTAAAAAACTATGAAGATGAAATTAGGTACTTTTTAGTATTGTTTTTGAATGACGCAAAAGTTGGACAGCTTTTCAATTCAATAGGGAGTGAGTTCCATAGACTGGGTCCCTTTAATTGCATAGAGTGTTTACACAGATTAAGTTTAACTCTGGGGATATCAAAGAGATATTTATTTCTGGTGTGGTGATAATGGGTCCTATTACATCTGTCCAGGGAGAGTTTCAGAGCAGGATTTGCATTTAAGAACAGGGTTTTGTAAATGTAGTTGACACGAGAGAATTTGTGGAGTGAGATTATGTTTAGCATGTTTAGGGAGTTAAACAAAGGGGCTGTGTGTTGTCTGAAAGCAGAATTTGTTATTATTCTGATAGCAGATTTTTGCTGGGTGATGATGGACTTGAGGTGGTTTGCAGTGGTTGAACCCCATGCACAGATACCATAGTTGAGATAGGGATAGATTAGTGTATAATATAGAGAGATGAGAGCAGAGTTAGGTACATAATATCTGATTTTGGAGAGTATATTAACTGTTTTAGAGACTTTCTTAGTTATGTGTCGTATGTGGGTACTGAAGTTGAGTCTCTTGTCTAGGAATAGGCCGAGAAACTTTCCATCATTTTTATTGCTAATGTTTACATTGTCTATCTGAAGCTGAATTGCATTTGTAGATTTGCTTCCAAATAAGATGTAGTAGGTCTTTTCTATGTCAAGTGTTAGTTTGTTGGTTGACATCCATAAGTGGACTTTTTTTAGTTCATTATTAATAACATTATTTAGTGTATGTGGGTTGGGGTTAGAGTAGATGAAGGTAGCATCATCAGCACACAAAATAGGTATCAGAATGTTAGAGACATTAGGCAGACCATTGATGTATATAAGAAATAGGAGAGGTCCCAAAATGCTGCCCTGTGGCACTCCAACGGTTATTGGTAGAGAGGGAGAGGTTATATTATTGATGGCTACACATTGGTGTCTATCACTAAGATAGGATTGGATATAGTCCAGTGTATGGCCTCGGATTCCATAATGATGGCGTTTACGTAAGAGGTAATTGTGATTAACAGTATCAAAGGCCTTTTTCAGGTCAATGAAGAGTCCAATCGGAAACTCATTTTTGTCAAGGGCTGAGTAAATTATATCAAGGAGACTAATAATGGCATCGCTGGTACTCTTTTGGGAGCGGAAGCCAAACTGACAGGGGCTAAGAATGTCAAATTTTACGAGGTAGGAGTAGAGCTGTTTGTAGATAATTTTTTCAAATATGTTTGATAGTATGGGTAGGTTTGATATTGGTCTATAATTGTTTATGTCTGCCGGATTACCTCCTTTATGAACTGGCGTTACTCATTCTCAATGAGTAACGCCAGTAAAGGTTTTGAATGGCACCATTGAATAGAGCAGATTTGTCTGTACAAGTGCAACATTTATTTAGGTTGGGATCTGAATTCCTAGTTCAGCCAGAGGACTCTGAAAATGACATACTTTGGTGCGATATTGAAAAAATCAAATTATGATTCTCCATCTTCTTTGTGCACTGATCATGACTGCTAGCAAATTGATACCCAAACTGATTTGAAAAATTTTAAGCTTCATTGGGTAGAACATTTTTGGGTGGGAATCAGAATTATTATTAAACAAGTGCTATTTTAGGTTCCTGTTCTATATTTATCTTTACATCTTTGTAGTATCGTGTCAGCAGGTCAAACATTGCTGTTTACTTATGTGTGTATTTACTTGCAATAAATACACAAATAAATTAAAAGCAATAATAATATTAATGTATTACAGGTCTCACTTGAAATTACTGAATTCAGTTAGTTAAATAATTTGATTTGAATTCGATTACAGATACGTCATGAATAAGGATTCCATTGGTTTATTGCCATGTGCTATTGCTAGCCATGAGCGTGGCTCTTCTGAACGTCACTTGACAACCTACACTCCCAACACACTTGAAATTTCTAAACAGTATAGTGCAGAAGATCAAAAACTAATAGCAAAGCGAAGTGAACTGAACTTGGATGGAGAATCTCCAGTATGCCTCCATCATGAAGCTTTGCTGTTGACAAAATTTGAATTTTTGCAAAAATTTGCTGCAATCCCTTCAAGAAGAAATGCCATGTAAAGCGAAAAGATTTGCGCCCAATCACAGTAGCTACTGCAGAGAAAATGTCAGATATGCTTTAAGTCAGTATTAAGCCTGGCCAAAAGTTGTGCACATCATGCAGAAAGGAATTCGACAGTAAGCAGGTGAGTCTCTACTGAATCTGATGGCCCTGCTGATATGGAAATCCATGAAAGTGTAAACACAAGTTTATCAGTATTAGGCATCTCGCCTATTAAATATCAACGAGTTAGTGCAAGGGATAAGCATGGTTATGCAAAGCGTAAGACTAGCCAAGCACGGGAAATAATTGCCGAGCAGATTGCTGCAATTGGAAATATTGAGTGCCAAAACCTGTTGGTACCAAGCTCTAGCCAACAGTGCACAAACTGCCAAGACTTCAATAAACTCATTGAAGAAATGAAGCTAAAATTCCATGTAGCAAAGCGCCAAGAAAAAATACAAATCCTAACCCTCGTGCCACAAAGCTGGTCTATCTTTTTGATAGACAATGGAGCAATTCAAAGTTTCAGAATACATGATTCGCAAAGCTAGGAAGCTGAAAGAATAACAGGGAATACTAGCAATTCCTAAGAAAATGCAGGGCAAGTCAATTCCTGAGGAAGTGAAGGAAAGGGTAGTATAGTTTTTTGAGGGTGAAGAATTTAGTCGAATGTGTCCCAGAAAGAATGGAAAGAAAAAGTGTCATGATTAGTGCACAAAGATGATGGAGAATCATAATTTGATTTTTTCGACATTGCACCAAGGTATGTCATTTTCCGAGTCCTCTGGTTGAACTAGGAATTCAAATCCCAACCTAAATAAAAGTTACTCTAGTACAGAAAAATCTGGTATTTGGTTTTGAATTGTATCATTCAAAACCAAAAAGGGAATGACACATATAGATATATTTTGCCTTGAAAGTTGGCTAGTTTTGCACATAAATTTTTTTGGGCAAACTTTCAAGTGGGCCACCTCTGGACATATGGATACAACAAAGTTGCTATTGCATCACTGCATAATATTTTGCTTGTTATACATCGTTGCAAATCATCATGGTATTTAGACCTTTTGGTGATGAGTAAGTGGTCTCCAAATTGGAGTCAAAATTTCTCGCGACAAAATTTGGCAGTGATTTTAGCATGGATGAATAGCTGAATGGCAACCCATACTGCTTTTTCGATTACACAACAATATTCTACACCAAAACGTTGCCCTGGTATGTCAAATTTCACACTCCTACAGGCAATAGAAGTGATTTAACAAAGGGTCAAAATGGGTCATTTTTGTGGTACTTCCCCATTAATGGGACGAGAGCCCATTGAATATGGACCTATTATTTAACACTTTCGCACGGGCATGACGCAGCATTGCATCATCCGTTTACTGTCGGTAGTCTCGGGGATGACGCAGCATTGCGTCATCCACTAAAATAATTGCCAAAAATCAGGTTTTTATCTGATTTTTAGGGACTGTTTGGTAACTGTCAACAAGCCGAATGCAATCTGTGACTACAATACAAACATGAAAGGTATTGATCACTTTGACCAAATGATCAAATATTATCACTTCATAAGGAAAACTCACAAATGGATGAAGAAAATGACCATCTATTTTGTGCAAATGGCTATCTACAATGCTTATGTGATGTACAACTACTACACAAAAAATACTAAACTATAATACTACATATACTAAAATACTAAACACTTGTGGGCAGGAATTGGGAGTGTAGCTGGAAGGCGTCTGGGCGCTCACTCGCGGTTAACGCGTGGCCCGTCTTCAACTCGTTGGCAGGTGGAGCGTGACCAGGTTTTTTATTTTATATGCTAATGTTCCTCTAGAGAATTCTATTGCGAACCCATTGATACCAAAATGAAAGACCTAGGACGAAAATTGAGGTGACCAGAGTGAACACATTTTATCGCTTTTGTGCGCTCCTGGGTAACTCGTTCGCACTTTCTCTGTTTGCTGCGGGTAATTAGCCAGGCTTTTGGAGTTTATATGCATTTAGTGCTGTTGAGAATTCTATTGCGAACACAATGATACCAAATTTAATCTCGTAGGACGAGAATTAAGGTGACAAAGTTGAAGAGAGTATACACTTTTCAGAATTAACACGCGCTCCCATGAAACGCTGGGACCCAAATCGCACAGTTGAGGGGTGGCGTGCGGGGCACGCCAAAGTGTTAAGAACCAAAGCAGATTGAGCTCTAATATTTGGCAAAGTGTCATTTGCGGTCAAGGGCAATCTTACTACAAAGTTTCATGGCATTTGGAGAGGGTCGAGTGGGAGCCATAGGTGACTTTTTGGCGATTTGAGATGGAATGACCCCTTGTATTTTGGATGTTTTTCCCCGTGGAGTGAAGGCGGTTTCACCCACTGTCTGTGCCTCCATGAGGGTAGCCAGGATCTGGCTCTGGTCCCTCGAAAGCCAAACATAGTTCTGCGACTGATTTGACCTAGCAGTTGGGAGCAATGCCAAGGTAAAGGCTCCAAGGAGCCACAAGAGGCTTTCCAAGAAGTTAGTTTTCTGATAAGGTTAATAGCAATAATTAGAGACAATTCTCAGTAATCCAAAGTTTTTAATACATATACAATGTAATAAAACCCTAAAATACTACTATATTTTCTTATATAATCATATAATTATACAGTACATAGATTTCAAGAACAATGAATTATTGCTTTAACTATTTGCAGTACATAACATTTCAACAAATTAAATGGCAAAACTGAAGTTTAAATTTATTTTAAAATCATTACAGCTTGTTAATTAGCTGTACTTTGATGTGCTGTATTGATCTTTTACATGATATATTCAAGCCAATTTTGTAATCTTCCAAGGCTAGAATAGTTCTAATACAATATCAATAAATAAGTTTCACTAAAACTGCTGTAAAATAAAACATTCACAATAAGATGGCAAAATCAACCCAATCAATTTTGGCAAACAGTTCCTGTTTTATGAATTGGTTAACAGGTCCAATATCATTAATAGAACATTTTAAGTATATTCATAGAACATTTTTTCTTCTATGAATATACCTGCCATTTTTTTTTTGTCTTGTAATATATAACTATGTTAACATTTCGGTGTTTGTAAAGTACTGCAGTAAAACACTAGGATGGACACACAAATCAGTGAATAACATCCAAAATATTTAAATTAAAAGTGTGGTCAACTTATATACTGTATACAATATAACAAAATAAAAATTTACATGAAAGGATCCCAACCAATCCAAGTTCTTCCAAGGATATTTGGGTCACAGGCTTGTTCCAAAAGAACATCTACTTGCTGGTGAATACTCAGGCCATCCTTCCCCATATCAACCCGCAAGTTCTCTCCTTCACTTCCAAGAACTACTCCTCGAAGGCATTCCAAAATAGTGGAGTCACTCTTGACTTTTTTGTTCTGAGAAACAGCCCACATTGTCACCACAGCAGGATTGATGCCATGCAACTTATTCTTTAGCAACTTAATACGATACTTTGAAAACATTTCTACATTACTGTTTTCAACATTACCTTCTTGACGTCTCACAAAACCTAACCAATCTTCTGTTGGTTCCTTAACAAATGCTTCTAAGACAGCAATTAACACATGCCGCGACTCCTTAAGAGCTCCAAGTGCAGCAACCATTATCTCCCGTAGCATTCCTACATGACCTACAGGCTGGAACATGTTGACAATTAGAGGAGTAAGTCGAAAAGGCATTAGCTCTGGACAAGGAAGGAATTGCACAGCAGACTCAAAATGGTGTCCAAAATCAATGCCAACTACACGGCCAGTTTTCAAGTTGACTAATGTATTCCCACAGTGGCGATCACCAATCCCAAGAAGCCAATGTGATATACATAATGTACCATAACTGACTGCAAAAGCACTACGCAGAGCAAAGAAGCCTTCACTGCTACTTGACAGTTTAACAAATCCACGACGTAAAATATCCCATGGAATTTTATTGACCACATTCTCGTAATTCTTTACTACATCCTTCTTTTTACTCTTTTTTGAAATATCCCAGTGTTCCCCTTTACTATAAAGGCCTCTTGCATCACTGTAGTACTTTTTCTCATCATCTCGGAATGATTCAATCATAAATTCCTTTAAAGGTTGAGTAGATTCCACCCACTGCAAGAGTCCAACCTCCATAGTGAGTGGCACAACTTGGTATGTGTCCAAAAGAGGTTGTGAGGTTGTGAGAGAACACAGAGAAGAAATAGTATACACACTGTTCATTAGTGTAAACATTTGTTCCATTCTCTGATCAGTTCGTAGATCTTCGCCACACTTGACAAGGAATTTATAATCTTTTTCATCATTTCCTCGAACAACAATTCTCACCGGAACACGAAGTGAAGTCATTGGCAATAGGTTTTCATCAAAACTAGAGATTTTAACATGATATTCAGGTAAAGGTTTGGACATTCCAGAATACTGACCTGGTAATTCAAGTACATGTGAATATTTAGAAGCTTGGAAATTTGATAACCATGGTGAATAAGCTTTCAGCTGTTTTGGCAGTTTTTTCATATCATCCTGGTTAAGAATCATTTTCACTTGTAAGGCTTTCTTAATATCTATGACAGACATTGTCTCGAGTTTCTTCATGTTATCTCCAAATCTCTCTTTAAATGCTGTAGCTACATCTTTTCTGATTCTATCCAGCTTGATATATGCTTCACCCTTCTCACCTGCAGAGCCTTTTGTAGACCTATTGTTCACTTTTAAGAAACTACTTTCAACCTTTCTTAAAGACTCTTCAATTTTCTTCTTATCCATCTCATGTTGGAGATTGTTAATTGCATCCTTGCAAGCAATAGCTGGTACCGCTACCAGTGATACAGCAGACACAAATTGTTGAAGAAGGTTGTTCCTGCTCAAGAGAAATTCCACCTTCTGACACATTACCTTTGCAGACTTACCACTATCACTGGTATAATCGTAGTTTTGCTTACTAATTCCAAATGGGTAGTAAACGGCTTGAGGGTATTCTGCAGCCAATTTCTCAACAATGGGTTGCAGAGCAGGGCCAGGAGCTTTATCAACATAAATGAGAATGTGACTCAACCAAAGAAGGAACATCCAAACAGGAACCCTCTCGGATTCTTTCTGGAAGATTGATACGAGACTTGGATTCTCTTCCATCAAGTTAATGATGCGTGGAAAATGAAAATGTGCATCGCGTGACCCTAATGACATTGCCTTCAAAATATTTATTATTAAAGACTTTGAGTATTCCTGAGCATTTACATGGTCTTTCCAGTTTTCTAAACAGTCTTCACAATACTTTGCCAGTACCACATGAACATCTTTACCGAAGTTGTGCATTTCTTCTACTTTATCATTAAATGTATGGAGTAATTTATCTTCCGCACATTTCACAGCAAGGTTAAGACTCTTGTAGCTGCATTCAAGGAGTTCGGTGTACCACAATTCCCTACTCTTAGCATTTACAAATTTATTTGCCAATACTAGCATGTATTGGTCTTCCAGATCCCAACTGTCACCCATTTCATGGATAGTTTCACATATCTCAAGGCATAAAGAGCTCTCCAGTTTCAGATATTGTACCTCAATTCCAGCATTCTGCTCACAGACTGCCATATCATTAACTTTACCCAAGAATTTTGCCCAGGCTTCCACCAAGTACTGCAAGCGATTGCTTTGTTTACCACGTCCTCGAAGGATGTTTGTTTCTGCCATCAGAAGATAGAACTGAGCCAGTGAACAACTATCTTCACATAATGGCTTTAGCTTTTTTAAATGCCTAGCAGCCAAATGATAATTAGTGTTTTGGAGAGCTGCTTTTACAACAGATCTGTGAATAGAGATCTTTGCATCTTTAATAAGCTGTGGAATATCATCTTGAAAGTCCTTTGATAATTCTTTTTCAAGACAGTGGACATAAAGATCTCGGTAAGAAGACAAGCACTGGATCAGTAGAGAGGTGTCTCTAAGGCCTACCTCATGCTTTTTCCAGTGGGTGACAGTCTTTTTCACTTTGTTAGAGTAGAAGTCCTTCCCAGCATGCTTGATAGTATTAAAAAAGTCACCAACTTCTGTTAATAGTTGGACATTGCGTAATGTGGCTATGAGAGGCTTAGGGGTTAAATGAGAATACTGAGCCAGCGTGAGAAGTGTGCTAGACACAGCTGCATCTAAATAAGACTGGGCTTGCTCAATTTTCTGTTGGTGTGCTGACAACACAGCTAACTGAAGAGATAAATCTCCTTCTAACAATGCTCGATGCCGAGGCTCTACCATGGCTTTATCAATGAAGTTACAAAGGTTTCCATCAGATTCTGCCCCACCTAAAATATTCATTAGTTTGGAATGAACCAAGGCAGGTAGGACAGCAGCAGTTGGCCGTGGAAGGAGCCATACGAGGTCCAAATTCACTTGTCCATTGTCATCTTTTAGAAAGCGATTTTCTACAAAGTTTTCAAGCTCTGACCACTGACCAAGCATTCCAGCACATGATGTATACCATTCTTCCCATATGCGGTTCTGAAATGTGAGTGTGCTGCATTAGTTTATTGAAAATTTGGCCCTGGAGATTAAGTGCACAAGTTCTAGGGATCCACTGAGGGGGCCACCACCAAAAAGCCAACTAATTAGCTCTTGGTGTTTTTATACACCGCCATAAATTATATCTACCGGTACTCAATTGAAGTAATCCAATTAGAATATAATTATCAATTTTCTGTGGGGAATGGGATACACAGGTGCATGTACAGTAATTATTCTACCACTAGAGCACACAATACAATAGACTACAAAACAATGCATATACAGTTTTCATATTTATGTAATGATGGAGGACTGCACTACATTTACATTTGTGTATTGAGAGATGATTGCTCTACATTTACATTCATGTAATGATGGATGACTGCACAACATTTATATTCATGTAATGATGGATGACTGCACAACATTTATATTCATGTAATGATGGATGACTGCACAACATTTATATTCATGTAATGATGGATGACTGCACAACATTTATATTCATGTAATGATGGATGACTGCACAACATTTATATTCATGTAATGATGGATGACTGCACAACATTTACATGTGCTACTTTCATTTAGCCAATTTACTCTGAAAGCTTAGGGAAGATTGTGTTGTAAGAAATAAAAATAATTTATGCATTGCTTATTTAATTTTTTTTTTTAGAGTTTTGTTTAACCCTTCAATTGCGCATCGCATCATATGATGCTTTGACCGACTTGCAATAAATTGTGCATCACATCATGTGATGCTTTGGAGTACTACGCAAGATTTAAACGGCCCGCGGATACACGGGGTTCACCACACCTTCATCAGGGCTCTTGTAAACAAGACGCCATTCTTAAAAAAAATCGTGGGCCAAACTCCCGGGTGTTATTGGTCTCAGTATTGAGTGAGCAACCAAGCCTGACGCACGCAGCATGAGCTAACAGCACTGCTGTTCAGCTTGTGACCACAGCATCGCCTAAAAATGCCAAAATATACTTGTTCATGCTATTATGTAGCGATGATATTATTACAGAAGTCCCCTGACTGTGATAAAACTGACCAGGGTTCTGATAATAGCAGGATTGTGGTGATATTTAGCGCTGTGCGCCATGGAGGGAGGAGTAATGCTGTGGGAGGGGGTCTGGTGGCGATGTCTTCTGACTGTGTGGTCACCTTTTATTGACTGCACTCAGCATACCAGCTTAGTGGTTCGCTATGGTGAACACAAATGTAGATACTTATATATAACGTGTGTATAGAGGGTATAAACAGCAAGAGAGGGTTTAGAGCCGCCATTTTGGTGCGGGCGGTGGCGTCGTCTGCACGAAGCCACCGTGCAGACGACGGTGTTGTTTACTGGTTACCACGATGGTCTTTGGGCACCATACCAGTTTATTTGTACAAGTATGGTGAATAAAACAGGTAGATATTTATATATAATGTGTGTATATAGCGTAATAACACCACACAGTATTGTTGGAGGAGAAATATTAGTGCGTCTGGCCTTGAGGGCAGCAGCCATCAGCTGACTGTGTGAGGTCCTACGTCTTTGCGCCTTTACCCACCATACAAGCTTAGATGTACAGTTATGGTGAACAAAACATGTAAATACTTATATATAACGTCTGTATATAGTGAATTATAGCAAAAACATTATTGTGGGAGGAGAATGTGGGTGAGTCAGATGACTGGAGGGAGGGTGGGAGTGGGTGGCTGGTACACGGCGGTCACTCCTCGTTACTCTTTGACTCATAATAGCTACTTAGTGGTTCGTTATAGTGAACAAAACATGCAGATACTTATATATAACCTGTGCTTATAGTGTAATAACCGACAAAGTATTTGTTCACTGATTGATGAACATAATTGAATCAACAATATGCACACCATATTTTTGAGTACAGCAATGATTCACTCATTTTATTATATAAATATATCACACTACACACTATTGAATAATATTACAGCAAAAAACTACGAAAAATCAATCGGAGATATTGAAATAATTAGGTAATTATCTCTTTGTGGCAACTCCGGCCTGACAGCTGGCGATCAACAGATCGCCTGGGACGCATGCTGAGTCAGCGCTTATTTTTTGCCAGAATTCCCCGCCCTATACCGGGCAATATATGCCACTTACGATTTTTTTATTATTTTTCTTGTGATCAGTGAACACAAATTTACAGGTTAGGAAGAAAAAATAATTTTTTTTTTTTTTTTGGTATGCGCCTGTGGGTGTCAAATGGTATATAGCTATGCGCCATTTAAGGGTTAACCTCTGTGTGTACTGACCTCTGCTGGCTCTGGTTCTTCCTCCCAGTCTGTAGTGCTGAGTGCATTTCGATAATGTAAGAAGGCTTGCACATGATTGTTCGTAGCCTCCGCCTCAAGTGCTGCTCTTGTCTCTTCCTTTATGCTGCCTAATTTTCCTTGAACAATGCCTCGGACCACATCCCACATATCTAGATTCTTGTATAGTCTAAAAAGAAAGAATTACCAAGTCATGTTCCATACTTATGTAGTAAACAGATTTCCAACATCCAGATTAGAGCTGCACACACACACACAACATTATTCCTGTATGCCAGTGACTAACATCATATTATACTCTCCCCCTCCCTAGACCCCCCTCTCTCAAAAAACCAGCGTTGAATGTAATGAAACGCCATTTTCTGGGTGAGCCCCGGAGGCTCCCTGGAGCTTATCGGGCTAATGTATGTTATGTTAGACCGGGACATTAGCTAAGGAGTTCAGACCTACCAGGGACCAGCGCCAGAACCTGGCCCCTTCAGAGAGGTTTCAGGGAGCAATGGCCCTGGAAAACCCCATATGGTTGGGGGTTTTCCTTATCTGCCATCGACCGGGGTTAGGCACCCAGAAAGGTAGGCGTAACAAAACAAACCCCACATGGTAAGAAACTACAACAAAAACCGAACAGAGAGGTAGAAAACTCCCTACAATCCCAAGGAAACAAGCAAACAAGCAAACATCACACTTTACTGCCGCGCCGATCGTCCGCGCAGCCCTCCCCACCCCGGGAGGGGGAGGGGGGAGCCCCGGACCTACCGCGCCGGCTGCCAAGCTCCAGTTCGGAAGCTAAGCTTCAACCAACGCGAAAAAACCGCCGACCGGTGGGAGGGAGGGTTTCCAGGGAGCCTCCGGGGCTCACCCAGAAAATGGCGTTTCATTACATTCAACGCTGGTTTTCTGTGGGGAGCCCCTACGGCTCCCTGGAGCTTCATACCCAAAGAGAAGGAAAAGAAAGGGCTAACCCGGGAGGTGGCCGCCACAAACTCTGCAACGCAAAGCCAAGACAACCGGTCGCAAACCTGTGACTCAAGGCAACAAGAACGCCCAAGAACAGACGCACATATGGATGGGCGGCCAAAAACCTGTGCGACCCACAATTCCCTGCGCCCGAAATGAGCCCGAGACGTCACCAACACAGCAGCAATTGCTGCAAACGTCTGAACAGCACGGGCGCAAAGACAGACCGCAGGAAGAAGGAAAACACTGCGGACGACCCGGGAGACCCGATCCCTGAAAACAGGGAACGAAGGAACCGGATCAACCACAGCGCATCCCCAGGCATGGTACGCTGGCAACAGCAAAAAGCACAACTGGACAACACAAGACGCACCCCCCGGCCAAACCAAACAAGTACCAATACCCCAAGAACCCCTCCGGAAAGCAGCCGTCTCGACCGTCGCCAGGACAGAGAAAGGCTGCATACCAATAAAGCTACCACCAGTACCAAAGAGGAGGAAACTGAAACCGAAGGGGCTACCACAAACTGAGGGGAAGAGAAGGCACCCTGAACAAGGACCAGGATGGCTCAGGCGACTCATGAGCAGGCCGGAGGGGAAACAAAACGCGAGAAAACGTAATAAACGTCATACAGTCTCCAAGACGAAGCTCGCAGGTGGGACACCGTCAACAAAGCCACCTGAACACCATAGAGATGGCGATACCTGCGTCAAAATACCAGACGCGAAGAGCCAAAGAGAGGGCCGAACCAGTCACGGACAGGACCGATTCGGCCTGGTGAAAGAGGCGAAGCCTCAGGAAAAACGCCCCGGGTACGGACACCTATCAAGCAGCGTCTGAAAAGAAGGCCGGGCCGGCCACCGTGGAACCATAAGGACTGTTCTCGTGGGAATGGGCTGCAACCGAGCCAGAACCCGAAGCAACAGCTGGACCGGGAGAAGAGGTACAGGTACCCCCCACCTCGACCAGGCCTGCCGAAAGCCTCCACCGGGAAGTCCTCGCAGGTGGGAAGGGCGCCACAAAACGGGCGACGCCTAGACCACGCCGACCCGAAGACGTCCATGGCCAGGAGTCCATAAGCCCAACAGAGCCAACAAAACGAATCGGCGACGACTGGCCAACCCACGAAGAGGAATGAACCGAGACAGCTGTCCACCAGGACGCAGGACACACCCCGGACACGAACCACACGGTGAACCAAACCCCCTGTGGTTCCGGCAAGAACCACCAGAGAACAGTCCAAACAGAGCTGAATGGTAGAGTACCTAGTGACCCAAACCCTCCGAAGCGCAAACCAGACAGCCAGGAACACCTGAACCGGGCTGTGAGCCTGAACAGCCAAAGGCGGGACCACAGCCACAGTAACACTTCTGGAGGGAAGACAATGAGGGGCCCAAGAGCCTGAAACAAGGCCCAGGTCCGAACCCGGGACGGAAACAGAAGGTAAAACCTCCAGATCACCAGGAAACCAAACCCAGCGATCTGGAAAGAACCAACCCCTGGCGAGCAGACAAGCGGACTGACTGGGAGCCCACTCCAGCCAGTCGTCGAGGTAGGCCAGACACCGAATCTCAGACGCAGACAGGGCACTAAGATCCGGTAAAGATGCAAAGAGTATACAAAGTGCCCTTCACAAAATAGGGAATGCAATAAAAACAGCAAACCTGAAGCCCCACCACCAAAGCATTGTATGACAATCATATTAAGACATTATGACATATGACAATCATTATATGACAATATGACAATTATAATCAAAGCATTATATGACAAAGTGCTGGGAAGAAAGGACACCACGAGAGTAGCTCTCATCCTGTAACTACACTTAGGTAAGTACACATAGGTAATTACCAACCGTGCTAGCCCCAGAAAAACTGGAGAGGAACGTGCCAAGAAGGGACCTGGAGGTCCAGGTCCACCATCCATGCACCCGGCCCGAACAGAATCCGAACAGGAGACAACAGTCCTCCGAGCAGGGCAGAGGATCCAGGGCGCAGATGGAAGTAGTCCAGAAGAACTGCAGACTGGAAAAGCTCATGACTGCAAAGAGCAGACGGGAAAAGCCCATGACTGCAAAGAGCAGACGGGAAGCCCAGAAGGATGGGGCGGATCGACCACGCCCCACGCACCCACGAAGAGGAAATGACGAAGCGCAGGGAAGAAGCCCACCCCGCCAGCTCTGAACCCCCCCCAAGGGGGAGAAGCCGTCCTCCGACGCCAGCAGAGGCCGGAAGACAACCCAAAGCGCCCACCAACAGCGGGACCAAGCGAGAGGCAACAGAGCAAGCTGCTCCCCCAGCGCCCAGTCAACAGAGAAGGGAACAGAACCCCTTCAGAAAGAAAAAGTACACTACCGAAGTCATGAGGAGAGACTACGGGAATGAAACCACACTTCGCTGGAAGAGGAAGTGAGGGGAGACCTGATCACCACATACAAGATACCCAAGGGAATCGACAGGTTTGAGAAGGACAGGCTATGTAACACAAGGGGCACACGCACTAGGGGACACAGGTGGAAACTGAGTACCCAAAAGAGCCACAGATAGAATTAAAGTTTTTTTTTTTTTTTTTTTTTTTTTTTTTTTGTGTCAGAATGGGAACGGGAAAGCACTAAGAAGTAATGTGGCGACTCCTCACACAAGTAACGAGGCTGACCCCCATACAATGTCACATGTAGACATGACAGAGCCCAAGAGGCACAGGAACCGATACACCTGTTGACGGACGGTTGAGAGGCAGGACCAAGGAGCCAGAGCTCAACCCCCACAAGCACAACTAGGTGAGGACATATATTGTAAAAGCACAAGCCGCCGACTAGTGGCAAAGAGCACTACGCCGGCCAGGCAAAGAAGGCACAAAACTGCATCTAAAGGCCCACCTCGACAGCAAAACCACAAAGTCCCAGCACAACCACAACACGTGCCAAGACCCAAAAAGCTCAGTCTGCAAGCCAGGAAGACCCCGGAACCCCAAAAGGCAGAACCGGGTCACACGAGGAAACAAAGTCCCCTGAACCCACAAAAGGGGGCCCAAGAGGAAGAAACCTCCAGAACGAAACCAAGGAACCCAAAGGAACCCAGAATCGAACCAGGGGGAGCCCAAACCACCACATTTGCCGGCGGAGAACACCACTAAAAGGCAAAGCACAGACCCCAGCAGAACGCCCTGGGAAAACGGTCCCAACAGACCGAAAACCGAGGGGCAAGGTGTGGGAGCAAGCATACCAGCCAGGGGCACTGAGCCTAAACCCAGAGGCTCAGACCCAAAATCAACACCCAAACGTTCCCAGAGGAACAGGCAACGGCAAGAAAACACCAGAAAAACAAAGAAACGACAACAGGAGAACAAAAACCCTGCAAATTTTTTGAAAACTCACCAGAGACGCTCGCTCGCACACCCAGACGCATGTAAACAAACCGCAACGCCGCCCTGGTGGCCACGCCGGGAAACCGGCAGACGAAAATGGCCGCCAGCAGGGGCTGTGACTGACGCTTAATACACAAAAACACGCCAGCAAATGTGGGAAGCGAGCAGACTGGAAGGGCGAAAAACGACGCCCAACAGCAGAAAAACCCCTGAAGGGGCAAAACCGCCTCAGAACTGCTAGCAGGCAACCCCCACAGCCCCGGGAACCAACAACAGAGGCCCCGGGGCAGAGCCGTCCTCCAAGCCCTCCGCCCGTAAAGAAAAGCAAGAGCCCATGGGAAAGGCAACAAGAAAGGGCCGCTGGTAAGACCCAGAAGCCTTGGCAGGAGGCACAGGCTCAAACCTCCGTCCCCAACCCGAACGGGGCATCCCCCGAAAACCGCCCGAGTCTCTGCCGCAACTGAACCCCGCCCCGACCCCGAAACCCGCAGACGGTCCGGAGCCGGGAACATGGAGAGAAAGGGGCGAGCAGCACCTAACCAAACGGGGCGGCCACGGGGCATTCGAGTGGGAAACCAACCTAGCATGTTGCAGCAACCTAACCTAGCCTGCAACATGGATGCCGCCTGTACTCTGAACAGTAATAACATCAGGAGAGTACTGGAGAACAAGCAGAGAATCACTCGCAAGACTCCGGGTCAAGGTGTCAGTGACCCAACAGGCAGCATGACGGAGGTAAAAATGGCGACTGTCACCCGGAGACAAGGGAACAGCAACCAACGATCCCGTTCAAGACGGGTTGGAACCCGGAAGACACATTCAATGGTCCCCCGAGCCCAGACAGGG